AGATGGTAAATATTCACCTGTTTTCCCATCCAGTATGCAAAATTATTTAGGACCACAAACGGAGGGAAACTAAGGCTTGGGGCTTGGCCAGAGTTCATACAATTCTTTCCACCACCCAGAGAGAAGGGCCCAACTACACTGGCAATCAAGAGAAGTAGCCAATAAGAAGCCTTCAGTGAGGGTTTCCACCTTGGGACTCGCCTCCACAGTAGCAAACTCTGCAAAAAGACCTGTAGAAGATGGACTTGTGGAAGGAAGAGAGAGGAAAAAGGGACCTCTTCTGTAAAGAGCAGAGCAAGCAGCACTGAAGAGGGTGGGGAGGAGGAGAATTATTATCATGTGGCTCAGTGAGTTATGGATGTGCTGAGAGTGAGCTCAGAGTTTCCAGGGTGAATATATTGCTCCAGGGAAACTTCCAGGGAAATATGTGCAAAGGAAAAAAAAAAAGGCATTGGATCTGAAGTTAGAAAGCCTGAGTTTGAGTGCCATCTAAGATACAAGTCACCTACATCACCTTGAACCAGTTACTTAACCGCTTATCTGTAAAATGGAACTAGTGAAATCTATAGGCATGATGTGTTACATGAGCTGAAAGAGATAAATAAATGCTTGCCAAGATGGGCATGGCACTGAGAGATAGCTTCAGCACTGTCCTTTTCTCTCTTAGGAATTCTCTCAAAGTATGAGAATGGAATTCTCTGCATTGTCACAGTCTAAGACATTGACTTAGCAATGGCCCAGAAACCCTCACTGAATTATCATCAGAATTCCCGCTAAGATATCTCCATAAAATACTTCTGAATAGCAGAGAAGCTCCTGAAGTAAAAGACAAGAGCGAGGGTCTGTATGGGCAGAAGGCAATATGGAATGTCAGGTCAGAGAAGGAGTTCTCTGGGTCCAATGGAAAGAGAACCAGAGGCTAAAGATCTGGTTCTAGTTCTGATTCCACCACTGCAGTGGTCATGTGAACTTGGTGCAGATCACCTTGGAGAAACTGAGGTTTGCACACTTCATCTGTCAATAGAGGAGAATACCTGTCCTGCTATTCTCATGTGGTTGTGAGAAAGAAAACACATATGATAAAGATGTAAAAATGCTCTGTAAGCTCAAGGTGCCACATTATAATATAGGTGTCAGGTTTGAGGAAATGGGAAGGGGGCCCTGGGATCATGGGAGTTACTTAGTATAAGCTGCCATCCCTATGACTAGAATAAGTATTGCTCTGGACACAAGAGTTCTGCTACCACACCTACTGGTCACTGTACACATTTCCCTTTTGAATTCTCTACAAACCAGGATTTTCTGGCCCCTGTGCTAGCCTCAGCCCATTTTAGAAAGCTTCGACTGACCTCTCTCACAAAGCCTCTGCAATTTGGGAGAAGAGACTTTGTGGTTTGACCCTGATGCTGACATCCTAGCCAAGCCAAAGACCAGAGCCCACCCCATCCATATTACAGGTGACATGATGGAAATGCTCTTTCCTTTCAGGTGTGATTTGTGCAATGTGACCCTGGGCCATTCTGGACAGGGGCCAGCACTGAAGTGGGAGACCGAAAGGACAGTGAAATTCATCAGAAGAACCAGTGAGTATCCAGATAAATTGACATGACAATGAACAGACATCGGTGGCAATATTGTGCCACTAAAATTATACCTCAACCTATATACTTAACTCTGGACTGGAGGGAGAATGACAGCTAGCTCAAATGATTGAAAAAAGAATTTGGGTCTCAAAAGTCTGGATGCTGCTTTGCTATGATATTAGCAGTCAATAGGGGATTTGGAGCAAGCTGTCTGAAAGCAGCATCTGGGTGTGAGGGAAATCTCAGTGCTGAGGACATAGAAGAGGGAGAGCCACAAGGGTTTCCTGGCCTCCTTCTCCCTGCCCACCCCTGCACTCTCTCACCATAAGTAGAGAAAAAAGGATTTTTAAGAATTTTTTTTAAAATATTTTTTTAAATTTTATTTATTTGAGAGAGAGAATGAGAGATAGAGAGCATGAGAGGGGGGAGGGTCAGAGGGAGAAGCAGACTCCCCGCTGAGCAGGGAGCCCGATGCGGGACTCGATCCCGGGACTCCAGGATCACGACCTGAGCCGAAAGCAGTCGCTTAACCAACTGAGCCACCCAGGCACCCCAAGAATTTTTTTATATATTTACTTTTTAAAAGTAATCTCGACATCCAACGTGGGGCTTGAACTCACAGCCCCAAAATCAAGAGTCACATGTTCTTCCAACTGAGCCAGCCTGGCATCCCAGAAATGAGCTGTTTAAGGTATAAGAACCATAGAGTGGGAAGAGGAAGGCAAAGAAATGAGATGTACAGAGTGATCTCTTTCCTTTTCTGAATTTCTTTGGAATTTACTATTTGGACTAGAAACTTAGCCTTTATATTGTCAGATCTCTTTTTCTGTGGAATATCTTTTCTCCTCAATTAAATGGCATGCTGTTTTTTTATCTCTCCTCGTTACCACATAGCAGATACTTCAAGCGTTTGGTTGATGGAAGTGGTTACATGTGTTCTCTTAGGAGGAACAATCTTGAGGAGAGGATTATAGTAGGGGCTGCCACCTGTTTCCATGACAAAGCACCTGAAAGTGACTCAGCCTAACAGCCAGTCTGGTTGCTCTCAATGAGAGAGAGAGAGAGAGAGAGAGAGAGAGAGAGAGAGAGAGACTGTATTTACAGAGACCCTGATCACCTCGCATCTGCCTCAGCCAAGGTTGTCCATGCAGACTGTTCTTGCCTCTCAGCCTTTTGGAGAGAAAGAAAAACATGGCAAGTGTACATCTCTCTGGTTTGGAACTTTGTAGAGACATTTCCTTGGGGCCATTAGAGAATTGTTCTTTAGATCTACCTTTTGTTAAAGAACTACACCAGAAGTTCCGGCCGATGTTTGCTCCAAGCGCTGTCTTCATCCTCAAACATTACTAAAATGGACATTGTGTACCTATTTAAGAGGCAAAAAAGTTCCCACTTTTGAAGCCTTGCAGTGAGGTTGAGGAGTCTGTACATATCCGTGGGACAGGCTGTCAGTTCTACTAAAACTCCAAGCAGGATAGGGTTGCTCAAGACTGGGTTGGTCCAAGAAAACTTCAGAGAGTCTGAAATAGACCTTGAAGCAAGGGTCAAATCAGACTAACTAAAAAAGAAAATATATTGGGGGGAGAGGGGCAATAAATGACTTCATTTTAGCTCAAGCAGATTTCATATGGTCACATAAAGTTGGAAAAGATTTTGGAAAGCCTTGAATTCCGGATTTACAGTTTGCATTTTAATTAGTAAGCACTAGGAAGCCATTAAATGTTTTTGAGCATGTGTATGAATGTGTCAAAGAATTGTATAGACTATCTGGTGGTACAGGAGAGGATGGTGGGGGTGGGGTGCTAGTTGGGAAAAGTTAAACAGTCCCTAGAGATCACTGGACTATTGAGCATCCAACTAAGGTGGTAGCAGAGAGAATGGGAAACACAGCACTCAATGCTGTGAACTTCTGTCTTGGAACACTACTTGCATGTTGTTTGAGTTAAAAATCTCTGGGAATGCTTCTCTGATTCTTGCTTTCTTTGTAGTCTCCTGACCACTTTCCGCAGGAGAGTGGAAAGAAAACTGTACTATGATTGTCCTTAAGGCAACTCACTCTGCTCCACTGGACCTTATCTCACTTAAATCAGATGATAACAATTTTACCTGCCGGAAGGCAGAGCACTGGAATACGGAATATCTTGATGATCTTTTCAACTCTTTGAGTGCCTTTCTTGTTTACTTGTTGTTGTTGTTTTTTTTTTTTTAATATTTACTTATTTAAGTAATCTCTGTACCCAACGTGGGACTCCAGTTCACGACAGGGAGATCAAGAGTAGCTTGCTCTTTCAACTGAGTCAGCCAGGCGCCCCTCTTTTTGATTTTTAATTCTTCAGAACTCTCCAACATCTGCTCTCCCCCAATAGCTATTTCATCCCAGTCTGGGAAAAACCACTTGGGATTCAGTCCGGGGTGCGTATAACTTCCCCAGAGTTTCTTGTTGAGGTGGTTGAGGCTGGGATGGAATGGTCTTCAAATCCAGCCCGGATGAAGAAACTGGCTGATTTAAGTGGCCACTGCCTCCCAACTAATACCATGTCTACTCTTATTACTTAAATTAGGAAGTAGGGTCGTCACTGGCCCGGAGAGGCCCTGAAGCCAAACCTCGGCGTCACCCCCCAGCTCTTCCCCAGAGTGACGGCTCCCCCCACTCCTCCACTCCGCGCCCCGCCTTCTATCCAGCTTCTACTTCACTTCTGCTTGGGGCGCAACACCACTAAGGGCCTGGGCGGTACCTCAGTTTGTTTCGGTCACACAGATTTCGGATCAGAACTCGCCCCCTCCAACACCCCAACGGTCCTGAGTCGGCAGAGGCGCCAGGCAATCTCTGGCCGCTTCTCTCGCTGCCCCAGGGAGGCCAACAGGAGCTCTCCCCGCTTCCGTGGGACTTCTCAGGGGCGGAGCCCACCTGTGCCCCGGGGGCGGGGCCTGGGCGGGGGCGGGACAGGTGGGTGTGCGGTCGCGCCCTGGGCTGGGAGGAAGAGCCGGAGCGGGAGGCGGCGGAGGAGAGGCGGGCAGGCGCGCACCTAGGGAAGCCTTCTCTTGGGCAGTGAGAGCCGGCGAGCGGGCGAGGAGGCGGGCGAGGAGGCGGGCGGGAGGCGGCGAGCCTGCGACGCGGAGAGGCGTGGAGAGGAGAGCCGGGCGCGGAGGACATTCGTGGGGGGAGGCGCCGGCTCTGCTCGCGGAGAGAGACCTGAGAGGCGGTGCGAGGCGCCCGCGCAGCCGGAGGGACCCCTTGCGCGCGGAGCATGAGCCGGCGCCCGGCTGGAGAGCGGCCGGGGGAGGCGGCCTCGGCGCAGCCCTGAGACGCTGGGCTGGGGCTGGGCCACCGTGCGCCCGGGGCGCTGGGCCCGGCAGGGGGGCGGGGGCTGGGTGCGGAGCGGCCCGCGCTGGCGGCGGCCGCCCGGGCGCCACGCCATGGGGAGCCCTCGGGCCGCGCTGCTCCTGCTGCTCCTGCGCCCGGTCAAGCTGCTGCGGAGGCGCTTCCGGCTGCTGCTGGCGCTCGCCCTGGTGTCCGTGGGGCTCTGGACTCTTTATCTGGAACTGGTGGCGTCGGCCCAGGTCAGCGGGAACCCTCTGAACCGGAGTAAGTAGCGCCAGGGGGACGGGGAGGGCGCGGAGGTGGAAGGAGGCAGGACCGGTGGCTCCCGGGTTGGGGAGACCCACCTCTCATCCTCAGACCCGATTTCCAGCTCGTTTTCGTCTCCAGGTGCCCGGCGCCGCCCCGCTGCCTACTCGGGGAGAGAAGGGGGGCGTGGGGGCCGGTCGCCGAGTTCCGAGACCGGGCCTGCCCGCCGGACCGTATGGGGCCGGGGGCATCCTCGGGGCTGCTCGCTGCTCCCCTCGGAGAGGACTGCGGGGAGAGAGACTCCCGCCTGCCCCGCGGAAGTGCGGGCCGAGACGCGGGGCACCTCGCGCGCGCTAGGCTTGCGGCCGCCCCCAGCGAGAGAAACGCGCGGTCCAGTCGTGGGCTCGGGGTCTGTGCCCGGGGTGCCGTCGGCCGTGTGTACCCCGAGGAGGCGCGCTCCGGTTAGCGCGGCCCAAACTTTGCTCGCTGCCTGCTCTGTGGCTCGCTACGTTTCCTCTCCCGCTGCGCTTTCTGGGGGTTCTTTATTTTAACCATAGCTCCGAGAGCCCCCTCACCTCCCCCTTCCCCTACGCCACTCCCCCCACACCCCCTTCCTCTTCCTTACTGAGCCGGCCCCCTCTCCTAGTTCTGGCCACCCCTCGAGCTAGTTACCTGAGGCTCTCTTTGGAACCCTTCGCAACATCCTTAACTCACCAGACCCTGGTCATGGAGACAGTGGACGGCACAGTGGACCAGGCAGTGGCTAGATTCCTACTTCTCTTTTTAACGTAGCCAAAGCCACTTAATTTTTCTGTGCCTCAGTTTCCTCCTAGGAAAATATGTGGAAACGGTCTCTTTCTCGTTTTCCTTCGACACCCATGGCTATGCGACGTCATTTTCAGTTTACTCTTGATGGAGCTAACAAAGTAAAATTCCTAAAGTGTCAGGGACTGTAAAAGGTCAATGTAACAGCAGCAAAAAGTGGAGAAACTCCCAGAGAGGAGCCTCCCTGCCCAAGCCTGAGTAGTGGAGGTTCATAGTTGGAGCACATTGTCTCCCATGCGTTCACTTCCCCCATTGAGGAAATTCTGAAGGTCTATGTGGTGATGAAATTGCTGGTGAGAAGATGCTTCGACATGTCCTTGTGTCAACTGCTTTGCCCAGAGTTGGGTGTGGTGCTTTGCCTCCTCCTCTGGCCAAAGAGAGGGAATTACTAGGGTCAGTAATTGAGCTGGTTCAGGGTAGAGACATATATTTATGGCAGAACTTCTCTGTTGAAGTAATTCTGACTGTGAGTAGGGAGACTGGGCTTCCAGGCCTGGTTCTGCCACTAACGAGTTGGGGGATCAAAGGGAAAATGACAGCTTCTCAGGTAGAAGGAGGAAGTTGGACTAAATGACCTCCAAGGTCCCTTTGAGTCTGGATGCTTAGATTGTGTGATCGCCCCTGCTTGAGCTTTTCCGGGGCCAGAGGGCTGAGCGCATCGTGAAGACGCTCTGCTTAGTCACAGCTCCACAACTCTAAATAGGAGAGTTCTTCCTTCTGATGACCAAAATTTGCCTTCCCATAGCTAGTTCTTCCCTCCCCTGAGCCTTGTTCTTCTCTCTGAAAGACAGTGCTCTTACATACTATGGCTGCTCAGTCCCAAGTTGGTGAGCCCCGTTGGAGTGTGTGCAGGGGGGAGGCCCTGGGAAGGGATCTCCCTTCTCTCCTCCTTGGGACACCCCTTCTCAACGTGGCCACCTTTTTGTTAATGTGGTAGCCAGTGGGATCCTCTGCACAGATTAAAAACAGAGGAAAGCAGTTGCTTTGTGATGCTGGAATTAGTGTCTTCCTCTCACCCTCCGCCTCCACCCCAATACACTTTCCCTTTACCTCGGGTGTGCTTTCTTCTCAGAGACCAGAACCAGTTTGCCATCATCATAATCTCACGCTCTGGCTCCTACCCTCTGACTCCTGTTGGCTGTCTCATCCTTAGCTATCAATTCGTGGGTCAGTTTGGTTTCCCTTCTAGATGAATCTTAGCTCTGGATTTCCTTATTCTTTGTTTCCTTTTCCAAACTGACCCTTCTCCAGAAAGATGTTCCGAGCTTCCAATTCCAGCAACATCTTTGTCTAACCATCATTTTTAACGACAGCCCAAGCCCAGGCACTGATGGGTCATCGCTTCCTCATCTCAGCCTCCTAGAACCCTGAAACCCATCTGCTCTGCAGGGTGACTTTTCATGCTGGGCTGTCTCATTGTATTCTACTCTTGCCTGGATTTCCTTTTGGAGTGAGGTTTAGACAGTGGCTGTGGTTTCTGGCTCCTTGTCTCCCATCCTTTGTTTTTAAGAAGCCCAGACGTCTTTCATCAAAGTCCTCTCTTGTCCTGTAGGTCTTATTCCCAGCTCAGAGCTATTCCTCTGGTGGGAGAGCAGGGGAGGAGGAATTAAAGAATAGAGGTACGGAAAGGTTTGCTCGCATTCCCTCCTTTACACCCCGGCATACCAACAGCAACCAGTAGAACTTCCCCTCCCAGGACTGCACCCGTGGCCTTTACCACAGCAACCAGAGTCCCAGCTTGGCTCAGCTTCCCAACAAGCCACCCTGCCTCCTCTTTCTAGCAGTCCCTGCCAGCTCACTACCAGCAGCCTTCCTGTCATCTGTAAGGCCGGCCTCCTTTACCAAAAACCTTTCATTTGCCTGTCCCTGTGTGATGGGTAGTACATTGATCTGACGCTGGAAGAAGTGTATGGAGAAATGGCAGTCACAAACTCCAGGGTGGGAAAGTAATGACAGGGGAGCGTGCTTCCTGCTTCATCTTCATGGAATAACCCAGTAGTTTAAGATATGGACGATGTGCAATTTGGGCTCCATATGTAGAAAGAGATACAACCACAATTGGAGTAACTTCAGAGAAAAACAACCCAGATCTTTAACAGATAGAAAACGAGTCCCTTGGACAAAAGAATTAGAGCTGTTCGCTCACTCATTTAAACAAATATTTATTTAGCACATACCTCAAGCAAGGCATTGTGCTAGATCACTTAGATATAATGATGAGTAGATTATGGTTTCTAGCCCTCTCAGCAGCTTTCTCTCTAGGAGGGGAGTTCAGGTGCATATATAAAAATAATTGTAATATGGAATAATCATTAAGTTTTACAACTGGGGAACCTAGATGTTGCTGTGACACTTCCGGAAATGGGATAGGGCTCTTTCAACTAATATTTCATGCAAGTGGTGACATTTCAGGAGATCTTGAGGAGCTGGTAAGATTTTAATGGATATGGAAAGAGAAGGCTATTCCAGACAGAAAGCAGTATAAACAAAGACCAGGGAAAAGTTGGAGTTTGGGAATGTCGAGCAACTGGGTTTGATGAAGCAGAGAGTAGGAGGGAGAATATAGGATGGTGCTATATTATGAAAGACTTTGAAAACAACCTTAAAAACTGGCTTTTATTCAGTAGATAAGAGAAGGCAGTTTTAGAATAGGGTAGGTAGGGGCATCTGGGTGGCTCAGTCAGTTAAGCATCTGCCTTCGGCTCCCGTTGTGATCCCAGGGTCCTGGGATAGAGCCCCACATGGGGCTACCTGCTCAGTGGAGAGCCTGCTTCTCCCTCTCCCTCTCTCCCTCCCCCTGCTTGTGTGTGCGCTCTCTTTTTCTCGGTCAAATAAATAAATAAAATCTTAAAAAAAAAAAAAAGAATAGGGTAGGTAGCCTTGTAGAATGGAGCCAGCCAGGGTCGAGCAGTTTTATGATACCGTGGTATGGAGGATGCCTGAATAGGGTCCTGAGGGTCTCTCGCTGTGGCTGGCATGAGCCTTTTAGTCGCTGCTGAGTCATGAAGCTCTCCTGGGGACAGGTCAAGGTGGTAGTGGAGCATTCAGAGGGCTTGGGGCAGTCACTATATGCCACCATGTTCATAAGTCTTTCAGTAGCTTAATAACTGGTACAGCTGTACTGGAGTGTACCAGCTGAAAAGCAGCCCTGGGAACAGACTATTAGGGGAGGTTAAAGACTCTCCATCCTGGCAGGTTTTAACAAGTTATACCTATTCGTTCAGATTGGATTAGCTAAATCCTGCCCGAGGGCAGAGGTCTGGACCAAAATGGTTTCTAGGTTCTTTGCTCTATAATTGACCTACTGCTGGGACCAACTTGGTGCTGGAGTCAAGAGATTGCATTTGGGCATGGAGCCAGGGCAGAATGATAGCATGTACCAGCCTCTTTCGAGATCTCACAAGGCCGGTTCCAATGTGTCCCCATTTTTAAGTGTCAGCTTTACCTGCTGAACTCCAAAGTGTTCTCAGGCTCAGGAATGAATCAGCTTTACACCTCTCTGGTTGGCCCCTGTGACTTCCGGGGGACTTTGAATGGGCTGAGGGAGCCACAGCCACAGATGTCAGGCAGGCATCTGAGCTCCTGGGGTCACCACAGCCACGCTGGTTTGGAAAGGATACAAACCCTTCATAGCAGAGGTAACTCAGGGCAGAACAGTAATCTGAGCTGCAGGCAGGGAGAGAGGGGGAACAAATGAGACCGGTGTGTGGGCAGAGCGGGCATGGCGTGGCTTAGGGCTGACACTCAGAGCGGAGGTGAGTGTTGCAGGGGAACACGACTCCTTCTGTGCTCCCTGTGGCCTGGGACCATGTCTCCTGCTGCTCTGGCCGGGCTGCCCCTCGCTCCCGTGGAACCTCTGACTCACGTTCCTGTGTCCTACTTACGTCTCTTTATGCTCTGCCACCCTGGCCACCTGGCTGCCGTGTGTATCTTCAAATCAGTATTCCATTCTGGGCACACACTAGGCACTTGAATAAATACCTCCTGGTTATGGATGGCAAGCTCTGAATTTCCAAGCACCTGATATTTTCCACTGGCAGATACTTTGTTTATCAGTGACCGATCCAAGAATAGAACCTAGGAATTCTTGTTCCTTGTACCGTAATACGTATAAACAACAATAGCCTTTCAACACATATGCAAAGGGTGAGAATTAAGCCATCAATGCCTTTTTATATAAGAGTGTTTTCTTT